ATATATATATATATATATATATATATATATATATATATATATATATATATAGAAAATAAAAAAGTACTAGAGTAAAATCTCCCCAGGAAATCTTTGGCAGATCAAATGAAGACTGTCTGACTTTCCTACTTTAGATCGTGTATTTTTAAAAAATCACGCTTTTATCAGATCCTTAACCAGGGTCTATAATTATTTTCGGAAATCAGACGAGCAGAGTTTAGATAACTCTACTGGTTTCACGATGAGTCATTGATCGAGCATAATCGTTGATTAACTTGGTTTCTTAACCATTCTAGAGAACTATGATTGGCTTTTTTGCTTAAAATTTCACAGTACTAACATTCCAACTTCCAAAGCTAGACGAAAGTTCACATTAACATCTATTATCGCGACTCACACGAGAATGAACAACGCTCAAAGCTTAACGGAACGCAACTCTCGCGTGATAAGCAACGCGTCAACAGAATCTAGAAATTCTTCTTCGATCTCTCGGGAATCGTTCGCTCCGAGATGCCTCTAACATGCCGCAGCTTTCAGAGAAATGACCATTCCTCTACCTAATTGTTCCATCCAGTTGGCCCCCGCGCGCGCGTAACTCAATTAGCTACGCGCGTCTGTTTATTTACATAATCGGCCCGTGGGGCATTTAACGTATTGATCACGTAATTATCGGGACGAGCCGCGGGCCCACATAGACCGGAGGCACGAAGCCCGTTTCGGCCGGCGAGCTTGCTCGCTCGCGCTCACGCGAGAGAGAGGATGAAGAGGTAACGCCGTAGGAGGTGAGAAATAAAAATAAGAAGCTCGGAGAATTCTCAGCTGGGGGTCATTCCTGACGGAAGATTTTCGTTCTCGTCGGGGTTCCGAGACGATCGACCACCTGGCCACATAGTTACACCTTGTAAACGGTCACTGTCTACCGGGCCGGCAATAAACGCGACCGACGCGACCAAGAGCCGACTCGTTCTCCGCGCACTCGTACTACATGGAAAGGTATTCAACTGAGATTAATCGCCGCAGATTTGTCACG